ACTCGTCGGTATAATATTTGCGACCGTTACGGATCTACAAAAAAATTATTTTAATGTATTTTTTGATGGCAAGTATGTTGCAAAGCGACCGATGCAGATCCCCAAACAAGCCTTCCATTTCTAATTCGGATCAAAGTATATCAGTTATATTTGTAAAGAGCCAATTATACACTGCAAGAAGGTGGATCAACATTTCTTTTAATATCTTACTAGATCAACATTTACATAGAACGGATATATATATATATATATATATATATATATATATGTCTATAAAAATCGTAAAATGTTAATATGAATTAATAAAATAAACATGTATTTACAAAACATCACAAAATGTCTTAATCTAGCATTTATTTATATCTGTGAACGAGCGTCTAAGAAATTATTACTTTTGATTAGTCATACAATGCCTGTTGCAACATCGATACCACCCGTACTTTTGTAAAAAATATTGTACATATTGTTAGCAACTAATATTTTTATTTTATATAGCTTATTTTCAAATAATTTCATAACATGATGTACATAACTAAACTACTCTAAATTTTCTCACTAAGTGAATGTAATTCTTTCAGAATGTTATGGACCGAAAATAAAATAACTAAGGACAAAGAATGAAAATTGGCGTTCTTCTTACAGGCAATTTCCAGGCAGTGACTTATCAAAGGTTTATATAGAAAAATATAGGTATATTTCTTCGACGTCAAATATAATACGTTAATATACAAGAAAACATGCAAAGTATGTAAAAAAATTGCACTTATACACGTGAAGACCGAACGAAAATAGAATCGATATTAATGATATTGTATTCATGCCAAAATTATTAGAATTGCTGTGTGGACATTGACGCGCCTTTTGAATTTAACGGCTTCAACATCTTTATATATATAATTCTTCTGTGAGTGTGTATGTCACTGAACTCCTCTTAAACGGCTGGACCGATTTGAATGATTTTTTTTGTATACGTTTGGGTGGAGCCGTGGATGGTTTAGATTCACAAAACAGCCCGGCAGATGGCACTGCAGTCGGTACTTTCATACTTTGCTTAATATCCTAATCGCTTTAAATATCATGCAGGACAACGTCTGTGGGGTCCACTAGTGTCTTTATAAAATTCTTTCTACCGGCATTTCAAGTTGGATAGTAAGTCGATATGTTTTAGTTGACATGCTGTAAATGGTTGTTATGAATAAGCAATGATTAACGAATAACGAGCGTGACTTCGCTTAGTATCAGACGAAACTAATCCGTTATTTTACTAGTAATTTTTTTGCATAAGAGTAAGCAAAAATTACTCGTAAAATCTAAAATTGGAAGTACTTTTTTTTAATATCATGTAAAATTTATGTTTACCATAATTGTATATACTGTAGATATAGCATTATATATGATGTGGTGACCTTTTATAAATAAATAAACTGACATTTTCTTAAAACATAGACACATGACAATAGACTAGAACTAAACAGGTGGCGCTAGTACTTTTTTTTATGGCTCTGGCACGGTTTGTGCATTAGCCAGCGTCAAGTATAAGATTTTTATCATTCATTCATACATTTAAAAAAAATGTTACAGGCAAGGGTTATATATATATCGAATACAATCGGGAAAATACTAATTATTTTAAAATTCAATTTGCTAAAATATTCATGGAAATGACAGGCAGGAGATGCCGTCTCAAAAACATGCAATTAAAATCCTGTCAAGTGCACAGCTTTTTAACTCCATAGCTTCATCAAAATACACACTTTCACGAAACAAAAATATTTCAAATACGTACTTTTAACAGGCTGATATTTCGATTAACTTAATTGATAAAACACGAGACAGCCTACATATATGTTTATTGCCAGTTCTTTTCGTCCGTTCTACGCTCTTGACTTCAGAACTGGCAGTAAATGTAAAATTAGAAGCATTTAATATATATTTCGTTTATAAGTGTACATGGTTTTACCTATATGAATAAATGTTTTTTGACTTGACTTTTGATGCATCAGTGATAGTTTATAAACTAATGAACCGATTATAGTTTAGTATCACTGTAAGATTTTCCCTCCAAAATCGACTGTTTTTTTTTAAATGTGTCTTCACTCATCATGGAACATTACGATCTAGCTTAAGTTAAGACTAATAAGTAATTTAAGTCTAACCTAATTTACTAAATAGGATATTTAACATAAAGTGTTCCATAACACTACTACTTACAGTCTGTTAACACTACATATTAAGGGGAAGAAACTGTGTTCTTGTGTTCTATTTTTTCACCACTATTTCACACTAAAGACTAACGTGCACTAACACTTTACTAGTAAAAACTAATATTTCTAGTATAATATATTTTATTAATAATGTATTTTTATAATATTTTATTTATTTTTTAATTTATATTCACCGTAATTGTCATGTATTTTAGAATGGATAAATGGTAACATATACTGTAGAAAATCCATTAAGTCTTAGTGAATATCTTAACAATACATACATATTTCAACATAATCTTATATGGTGCTGTATAAATATATAAAAGAGGATATTGAACAAAAAATAACTAGGATGGGCATAAGCCTAATGGATTGCGAATGTACGTCCTACGCACGAAATTGGATTTCATTGCAAATAAATGTAAGTTGGATTATGACAATTTCCCCTAGAGTCAGTAAAATCTAATAATAGATGTATAGAATTTCATATTAATGTTTACTGGAATATTAGTCATGGCAAGCTGTAATAGACCTTATATACCTCATCATGGGGTAGATAAACATAGTATAAGCCTTTCCGTAAGGGTTGTGTGGAAGAGTTTTATTGTTAGCAATAAGGTTGAAGATGCCCTACATCATTTGTTTCACTAATTAGACCTTGATTACATATTTTAATATTGTCCTGTTCACTGTTTACATATATGTTTTGATTGCTTTGTTTTGTTCCATTCGTTTTTTCTATATGACTTATGTATTGCACATCTTGCTAATTAATTTATCTCATTTTTTTTTCACATTGGTTGTCTGGAAGAGAACGCTCGACAACAATAAGGCCGTCAGTTGCCCCCCTTTTCATTAAATTATGTCAACTATATTTCTGTATGCAACGAAGTGTTAATAAATAAAATAAACATATTCTTAAGAATCGTGCTACAAGCGCGCATGTGCCTTAGTTGCTCATTTGTCTCGTTCGGTTGTTTACGAATTTACGTACAACATCCGCCCGAAGTGGAATGGTCGAGTCGGAGTAGGAAGGTAGAATAGTATATAAAACAAGTTGTGGCATGCGCATGGGCATTCTTCGATTAACTTTTAAGTGTTTTTACTTCTTACAGTTTATGTAAAATCAGTAAAGTGAATTATAGTGAATTAAGTAATCAATGGAGTGTTTAATTTCCTACCCTTGATTAAGGCTTTTTATATAAAATTATATATATTAATAGCTGCCCCTGAGAAATCCGTTTCTCCTTAATGTGATTTTACTTAGCCTACCTTTTTAGTACATACCAACATGGAACATTTTGCTATGCTACCCAAGGACTGTTCGGTTTTCTGTGAATTTTTCTCTATATATAACTCAGAGTTCAAGTAATTATATTTTAATTAATAAAGAAAAAAAATAGGGGTTGATTGTAGAGCGGTGAAATGTGTATGTATTTTTGTATCTGCTGTATCATAAAAAAATAAAAACAAAAATTTTATCTAAAAAATGAAAAATAAAAATTTAGGGTGGACCACTTATCACTTAGGGTTTGAAAGATAGATAGCCGATTCTCAGATTTACTGAATATGAATATAAAATTTCATAAGAATCGGTCGAGCCGTTCCAGAGGAGTATGGGAACGAACAGTGTGACGCGAAAATTGTATATATTAGGAGATTAAACACATCATCATAGTGACTTTCCATTTGTAACCTTTACATTCATATAGGTTTTTCATCTTCAGTAACTTACGCGTTACATTATATGTATAATTATGTTACTCATAAGACAATTATCAGCTCGTAATATAATGAGACTGGAACATAATTAATAGTGTTTATTCAAGTCACAAGGAGTTGTGGTTATCAACATTTCAAGGAGAGCACGTGGTCACAACGTAATTAGCTCGTAGTTAGTGTTTATGACTCACTGAGATGCGCTCGCGAAACATAACAATGTATTTTTCAAAGATTATAATCGATTTTTCTGCGAAGTTTTACAAATTTGTCTGATCACAAAATTTATTTATTTATTTTCTATTGTTACAGTGACTTAATACTAATACAATAGAATACTTATTAATATAACAATTAAATATCAACATAATATAAACAGAACAAGCAAAAATAAAACCTAAATCTAAACAAATTATAAATACAATTCTTGTGAATTTAGCTAATGTGCTAACTAAATATATCCAGGATGCGCAAGACACGCGTAATATAGTATGTATGATATATTTTTATTTTAGAAGGCACTCTGCCTATATGTTATGTATATTTCCGTATTATGCAAAAGAGATTAATACATTAAGTTTACATTCTAAAGTTACAGCTTAACACCAATTCGATAAAAAAATAAATGAGTGGCGCTACAACCTTTTTTTAAGGTCTGGGCCTCAGATTTCTGTATCTGTTTCATGATCTTTTGTTAATCTAATCGGCAAGTGGATGATCAGTCTCCTGTGCCTGACACTCGGCGTCGACTTTTTGGGTCTAAGGCAAGCCGGTTTCCTAACGATGTTTTCCTTTACCGTTCGAGCGAATGTTAAATGCGCACATTGAAAGAAAGTCCATTGGTGCACAGCCGGGGATCGAACATACGACCTCAGGGATGAGAGTCGCACGCTGAATCAACTTGGCCAACACTGCTTCAACAATTCGATAGAAAATATAGTAAATAATGGTCAGTGCCACTCTTATTCTTAGTCAGTCTTTACCGAATCATTATTCTTCTTTTCTTTCGTACTCTTCATTGCTGAAGGTACATCAGTCTTGAAAAGCCCTAACCGATACGTCAACTTGCTGCACTCACACCGCTTTATCCCCAGCCTGTCTCAGGACATTAGAAATATTGAGGCCCATAATTATCTTAATTTGGTCAGTCGTGTAGGCGACCCTGTTTTTGCCATCACTTGCAACAATATTAAGTGTGCGAAATGCTCGCGTAAGTGGTGAATCTATGGGCAAGTGAGTGCGCGCCCGCGGTACAGCCAGCAACAGTTGCCGTTTTTCATGAATCAACCGCTCTAACACATCTGGATTGTGTACCCTACCCGTTGAGTTAACCTGGTTTTCTCGCTTGATGTGTCTCTTGCAAAGCGTCATTAATTTTTTTGGGATATCTTAAGAAATCTCGCAATACCTTTTATTACACGTAACAATTAAGAAGGTTCTCTATTGCAAGACGGCATTGGTCAAACAAGGCCCGAAGAGAAGAGTTAATTACTCTGGTCTACGGTGACTGTTTGATTGTACACCCAAGATTCTTGTTGACAAGATACGGGCACAGGATATGAGTGAGACGGGAGACCACTATTTATAAACATGTCTTATCTCGATGACTAAGCACGCTTTAATTTGTGCCAGTTATTAAACAGATGTTCCTATCTTTAGGCACAAACGACGCATTAAACCTAAGCTCTGTGATGGAGATAATTTTGTAGGCTCGATACTGTATCAAGTTCATTGCTCTATGACCAAGGGTTTACCTGAAGTTGGCTCTCGTACTCTGGCGCAGAAAGCTTGAATCAACATTAGCGTGAGCCAACGGAAAATTACCAAGTCCTAAGTAAGATTTATGAAAACCATTTCCCTAATAAATTAGTGGCAGTGCTCAAGACTAAATTTTGAAATAGAAATATCGTAATTTAACCTTAGAATTTAATTAAATGAGCATTTAGAAGCTAATCTTCACAATAACCTGTTCAAACTGACATCCAATTCCTCACAAGGATATTTGCAAAACTAAATTGCAGTGTCATTGTTGGTAATTAACATAAGTATCCACACGAGTTGCCAAAGTAGTGTAAAGCAGTAATTTTGAATTACTTGTATTGGCATTAAATGCTTCGTCTCTTGTGAGCGTGAATACCAATCCAAAAACGTATTGAATATTCACATACGGAAGACGTCGTCTGGGCTATGAATACCCCATAAGAGACAACAACAAGACGTTCAAAGGGCTTACGAATGTTGCACATATAAGGTTAGAATATAAAACAAAAGACGACGGCGCGTATCACCGTGATTTGATTGGTCAAAACAAAAGACGGATCGTGTCGCGTGCCTCTGATTGGACAAGAAAACATGGCTATTTCTTACGATACTTCCTAGGAATTACATTATCAGAAACCTTTTAATCGCCCCATTATAGAGAGAATAACTTTTTCCTTTATCTATATATATGTGCAATAAAGGAAGTCCGTCGCACACGATGCTTAATTGTTTAATGGAACGGAACGATCAATGAAAGCGACCAGCGATTGTGATTTGTTGGATAACAGATGCCTTTTACAAAAGAAGTGTGGTATTGTGTTGTATTTTAAATTGTTTTAAATATTATTTACACAGATCGATCTTTTTAATCCGTAAAAACTATGTTTGTCTGAAACGATACTCAAACTTACTAAAATATTGTCCGAATATCAAAATGATTAATTAAATGACTTATTGATTTCGAACATCTTTTAATAGGCTTTAAATGTACTGACTCATTAATTTTGCTGTTCTTTTCGTAAATACAGTAAAAAAAATTTTTTTTTTCTTAAAAGCTTAATAAGTAGGTGAGACGTGCCGTTATCCTTTACTGTACGAGAAAAATTGCGCACAAAGAAAAAAAATCCATACTGCATAGCCGTGACTTTACTCTCATCAAAGTCGAAGGTTCGATACCCGGCCGCGCACCAATAGACTTTATGTCTTTATATTCAACACTTGCTTGGTGACGGAATACATAGTGAGGAAACCAGCATGCCGCAGTTCTAAAAAGCCGACGTGTCAGGCACCGAAGGCTGATCACCTACTTGCCTATTAGAAACAATTGAACATGAAACAGATACAGAAATCTGAGGCCCAGACCTGTAAGGTTGTGCTACTTTTTACCATCGTATCAAATCAAAGTCAAAATCGTTTATTCATATAAGTCAAAAAGAATACATATTAATTGCTTCTAATTTTACATTTACTGCCAGTCTCAAATCAAGGGCGTAGAACGGAAGATAAGAACTGGCAATAAACTCACCGCCACTCACTCACTCTTTTTAATCGCCAAGTTTTTTGTTTTACACAATATTTGTAAGGAGCTGCAACCATTACACCATGTTCCACATGACATCTTAAGTAATAAATAATAATAAAATAAATTAAAAAACAAAGACTTGTCCTCTATCAGCAGGAGGCATGGTGAAATAGGAGCACGCACTTTCATTCTCGTGGGAACAACAGTACAGCACGCAAATACATAGTCGAAATAACTAACATCACCGCATACACGAATTCAAGTCTGACCATTTTGAAAGACATCTAATCATGTACGCTCATGGAACAATTAAACGCTATCCAAAATAAAAATAGATTCTTCCACATAACCAAAACGCGACCTACCCCAAGGCCGTTATTAGCTTATCTGCTGATTCACCGCGAGTCAAGGCTTAGCACTCAAACGTGGCCTTCTCTTTGATCGGGTGATTCACTAATGCTTTTCGAATTAACATAGAAACACACAAAAGTCAATCTAATGTTGAATCGTCAATTTCCTATAAGATATAAATTGAGTTTTAGTGAGTAGTCTATACTAATATTCTAAAGAAGCATGTTTGTAACGAATTGCCTCGAAAAGTACTTGAGCAATTTTAAAAATTCTTTCACCATTTGAATGCTACATTATCACTGATTAATATAGGCTATTATAATTGCAAGAAAAAATAAGGATCCCTATTTAAACTACAATAATGTTGCACAAGGTGTAAAAAAATGCCTATAAAATATCTTTCATCGCATGCGCTGCGAAAACTATAATGTTCTACGATATTATAGAACGTATCTATCTATCTATCGTTTTTTAAATATATGTCCACCCGGGCGAAGCTGCAATGGACCGCTAGTTATTTAAAAGTTGGAGGAGAAGGCCTTCAGGCCTTCCGGCAGGAGGATTCATAATAAGTCGTGTGCTAAAAAATCAAACATATTCATGAAGTGTCAAGGCATTCAAGAATGGCCATATTATCAGAAAGCGTAGGCTAGTGGGACGTCCGCTCATAAAAACGAAACGCTGCCTTCATTCTGTTTTATTTGGCCATCAGTGAGTAGCTTATATTATTGCTTTTTTATCTGAATTCATAATTCATTTGAAACATATGTAATACAAACAAACTAATTTTGAATAGTCTTCGTTTCGCGAAGGACGTTCTTCGTACACATGTCACCGAATAAGCGCAGCGCAGTCTCAATGTTTTAAAAGTTCATCGCTAGGTCAACAAGCCCCTATTGTGCCTGTGCATTACTCAGAGTAGGAAGAGGGAGGTGCAATGCGATGACATAGGGGTACACAGCTAGGATCAGGGCTGTCGTTTCGTAAAATGATTTTGTTTTTATTCAAAAATTCTGCCAATAATGCCCTTATAGAGTTAAAATTATAAGTAGGGATACATGTCTATTTCCACCATAAATTTCTGACCTGGGCAATTCGGGTCCATGTGCCACGGCTCTTATTTCATCAATCCACCTTAGGAATGGTGTACAAGGGGTACACCATAGGTGGTACCACCTAAGGTGGATTGATTCCTCTTCATGTGACCTGTGTACCAATGCATTGGCTTGCTCCATTTTGACTGTCATCTGATGGTATGCCCAGCCCACTTCCAATTTTAATCGTAATAGTTACATGTATATTCTAGATATTATTATTATTAAGGATACATGTAGGTAATTTACAAAGGTCATTTGCAACAAATAAAACAGGAATATTGTGTTTAATAATTAATTGATTATAGTTATGTTTTGTATGGAACAGGAAAAGACGGTTATACAATAAATCTTATCATTGATTTAGGTAATCGTATAGCGTTACGTCAACTAAACTAAACTATTCCCCGGTCATTGCTTTTTCAAATTCAACTTTCGCATTATTCATTCTGAGGTGGCAAACTTCAGCACACATTTCAGGCGACCTGCCAACTCGAAGCGCCACTGCGCTCACTGCATCGCCTCCTAACACAAATAATCACGCAAGAACCACCTTTGTCACTATAAGATAGGGTAGATAATAGCAATTCCACATCTCGAGAACAGTCATCGCATGAATGTCTCGCGCGTAGTCTAGGGTTTTTAATGTGAAGCATTTTAAAGTCCAACGAAAAGAATTCACGAGATTATTTTTCCTGTGCGAAAATATTTCAGCGGGACGACGTGCGTATAATATAATTGTTATATTCTTTGCGTATACGTCCGTATTCTCAAATAATTTAAAAGTTTTGCCATTCATTTATTTTGGGCTTCCACTGTTATGAAAAAAATATTACAATTTAATTAATGACTTGAAAACGAGCTACTGTTAATAAAAACGACACCAACAAAAGATTGTTTTATAGAACAGGGGCCAAACGGGCAGGATGCCTGATGGTAAGAGATACCGCCGCCATGGACACTCAATACCAGAGGGCTCGCGAGTGCGTTGCCGGCCTTTTAAGAATTGGTACGCTCTATACTTGAAGGACCCTAAGTCGAAATGGTAAGATTGAAGGGGAATCAAATTTTAATTAATAATTACAGCTAAGATTAAACAATAGTATTTTGTATATTGACAGACAAGACAAACATTAATAGTAATATGAACCTTGACTTTTAACCTTTAAGATGTCAGTACTCTACAATCAAAATTCAGTCGTTAAAAACATTTAGATACCTTGCAGTTATACTCGCGGAAAAATAAGCGGCTCTTTCGAGCATTGCTCCCAAAGAATGACCTAATTTACTTATGGATAACTAGCCCCAGCGGCGCTTGGCACTCTGGCTCGTTACACGAAAAAACTACTGTTCGCGGTAATCTCTCATTAAAGTACATTTTCTATTGAAAGCATCATTTCATTTCGAAAATGCATGCTTTCATTTCAACGCGAAGATTCGGGTTACTGACCTCGTTTATAACAGATTCATAAATTATGAAACATTTTAATCAAGACCAACGCGTGATGATATAATTTTGCCGAGTATTTATATCATTATGTGGCTTTTCAACGAACTGAATTCTAGTTTTGTAACTTTAGTTAAATTGCTTTTTACCCACATCAAAATGGACGCAAAACAATTTGTTGGTGGTCCTTTATTGC